TTTTTTTTTTAATGTTTATTTATTTTTGAGAGAGAGACAAAACGTGAGTGGGGGAGGGACACACACACACACACACACACACACACACACACACACACACACAGAATCTGAAGCAGGCTCCAGGCTCTGAGCTGTCGACACAGAGCCCGACACGGGGCTCGAACCCATGAACTAGGATATCATGACCTGAGCTGAAGTTGGACACTTAACCAGGCTGAGCCACACAGGTACCCTGAGGGATGACATACCTTAAACCTGGCTGCCATAAAAGAGGGAAATGAAAGTAATTTTTGTTTTATTTTGAGATGTTTTGCTAGTTTTTTCAAATTATTTATTTCTTTAAATTTCTTGAAAATTTTTTTGTTTATATTTTGTGTGGGGAGGTTAGCTTTTTCATACTTAACGATTTGTCTTCTTAGTGATAACTGTCAATCTTACATTTCATGTTTTAGAAATGAGTATTTTAGTGACTGCTACATCGGGGGTGGTTAATGGCAGTGTGAGGTTGACACAACATAATTATGGATTTAAGAGATGACAGAAATTTGATAACCTTGTTTTTTCAAGAGTTGTATTGCTTTCATTGAACATCTATTTTCACTGAACATCTAATCTATAAAATTTTATTTTAGCATTAATTGGTTTTGCTTTTCATTGTTTTTATTTATTTTTTTGAGAGAGAGAGAGAGAGAGAGAGAGAGAGAGAGAGAGAGAGAGAGAGAGAGAACCTTAAGCAGGCTCCACGCTTTGCATGGAGTCCGACACAGGGCTCAGTCCTGGGATTGTCTGGGATTATCACCTGAGCTGAAATCAAGAGTCAGATGCTGAACTGACTGAGCCACCCAGGTGCCCCTGCTTTTCATCATAGTTTTTAGTCATTTGCTCTTAGACATATGCAAGTTGATGACAGGATTGTATGTGTACCTTTTCCCATTTTATTTGATTCATTTTGTAAATGTAGGAAGTTTCAAACATAACAAAAATAAAGAGAATTAGTGTAGTGAGTCCTTATGTACTCAACATCCAGCTGCAACAGTAACCCGTACGTACCTAGCTATCACACTGTCCCCATCTGCGACCTCTCTGCCTTCTTCCCCGCTTTGTTTATTTTGAAACAAACCTTTCAGATATTGTATCATTTCGTTCATAAATACTTCAGTGTGTGCGTTCTTTTTACACTTAAATGGGGAATTATTGCTTCATAGTTAGGTTTATATAACTTTTTAAATAAAAGTATCTGATAAGTGGAATTAAACTACTTCTAATCTCTTTTACCTGTCGGTTGTGATTCTCTCTGCAAACTATTAGAAATGAATGGCGTAGAATTCACCTCACTGCTTTTAGATGTTTGCGTTGAAAAAATGCGTGAACAGTTTCTGTGTTTGCCAGAAAAGCTTATCAGCTTTTTTCTAATGTACAAAGTGAGAAATAATGTGTCTCTTGTAGTCTTTTTTTTTTTTTTTTTTTTTTTTTTTTTTTTTTAAGTCATAGTGACAAGACACTAAAAAATGTTTTTGTGTTCTTGTTCTTGATTTTCTAACTGGACCCAATTACTGCAAAGAAATCCAGTGATAACTGGTAATGTTGAACAGGAGCCGGAATTGGTCTAAAATCCGACTTAAAGAGTATAAAATAACATTATTTTGAATTTTGAAATTCTGATTGTGGACATTTGAAAGTCCATACCATTGCTTCAGTTGTTAAATACGAATCATGGTACAGAGCTTAATAATCATGATGAGTAGAAACACTGTAGAAAAAGAAAGTAAATATTCCTGTTAGGAAGATAAATCAAAGTGTTGAGATTTGAAGTGATTGTGAGTAAAGTAAAATTTAGCCTTCTGTAAAACACTGACAGTTACCATTATGAATGTGACTGCTATCTCTAGGGAAACTTTGGTGAACTTATCATTTGTTACATCTTATGTTATAGTCCCATAGGAAATAAACCATTAATCTTTGATATAATCTTGCTTTACATTTTTTCTATCTTTTCCACACTTGACATTAAGTCCTTCTTCTCATTCAGTTTTATTTGTCCTGATACCACAGGTGGACTTTTGTTAGATTAGAAAGTAACTATATTGTTGGCTTCTTAGTATAAATGATACTATTTAGAATATGGAGGACACATTACTTATCGTAAGGTTTCTTTTTTTTAAGTTATTTATTTTTGAGAGAGAGAGAGAGAGGGAGCGCAAGTGGGGAAGGGGCAGAGGGAGAGCAAGTAGGGAAGGGGCAGAGGGAGAGAGAGAGAATCCCTAGCAGGCTCTGCACCCCCCAGTGGTGAGGCTGATGTGGGGCTTGAACTCCCAAACCCCGAAATCATGACCTGAGCTGAATTCAAATGCTAAACCAGCTGAGCCACCCAGGTGCCTCTAATAAGGTTTCCTAAAATTCAGCACTGCTGAAAATGAAAGCACCAGAATTTAAGTGTTTACTAATATAAGAAGCCTCCATTCTTTGAATGGAGAGAATTTAAAAGATTATCTTTGAGGGGGGCCTGGGTGACTCAGTCGGTTAAGTGTCCGACTCTTTGGGCTCAGGTCATGATCTCAGTGGTTTGTGAGTTTGAGCCTTGAGTTGGGCTCTGAATGACAGTGTGGAGCCTGCTTGGGATTCTCTCTCTCCCTCTCTGTCTCTGTCCCTTCCCTGCTCGCATGTGTGTGCTCTCTCTCTCTCAAAATAACTAAACATATG